TAGAAACAACTCAATACATGATCACAAAGTGATAAGCATATGGTTTTGAACAAACTGTGCGTGTGTATTTTATAGCTAAATAAGTCGAATGCAAATGCAAGCATATTTTTTATATAGATGATGTGACACATTTTTTAGATGGGGATTTCAATTTGTTTCAGATACAGTTACAAATAATATCTTTTTATTTAAATATTGAGAATATATTGCTGTTGGCAATTACACAGGCTGTGGACTCAAAGACGAATACACGAGAAGTCAAGACCACAATTTACAATACAAAAACATTCATATAAGCTATGGTATAAAGAATTACACAATATGAAATTTAAATCTGTAGAAACAGTGGTGAAAATAATGACACAAGTTAAGAATTGTTTTTTTTATGTAGGTTATGTGAGATAATTTGCTTCTTAGCTAACAATATTCTGTAATATCCCTACTTTGAATTCTAAATACTATATAAATGGACCAGTAGCTTACAAAAGAACTGAATCTTGTTCCATATTATAGTGAGAAGGGTATGGCAAATCGAGACCTTACTGATGTATGTACTGGCAATTGATTGAGATGAATTAAGGCTGACTGCTCATTGCTTAAAGAATTAAAGGCAAACAAATTGTTTGATCAATTATTGCAGCTTATAATCTATCAATACTTATGGTTTAGTTTTAAATTTAATTTTGTTTGTATTTGACTTTTGAAAGTTTACAATCATGTGCAAATGACATTTATCCTCTATATTTTACTTTAAATTCTTCTTCTCATGCTACCATCAAGATTCATTGATATCCACTGATATATCATCATGTAGTTTCTGTATTCCATCACAGTCGAATGATTGTATTATCATACATACAGATGTTCGTAGCATGTAAATTCACTAGGACCAAATTAATGTCTAGCTTGACCTAGTGGCTACTCTAATGATTGTCATAGATTAGTTTTATCCATTAAACTTTCAGCAAGCTAATGAAAACATTTTCCATTAACTGTATGAAAACTTTATACTTTAATACTTTGGCATTAAAACTAACTATTGCTACATTTTATTGTTTGCTTTATTTAATTTTACAACTGTAACTTCTGAACAAATATTCAGTGTATTATTGAAAAACTTGGTTAACACTTATTTTCACTTAACCATCACTCTAATCATGTACTTCTTTTTATACCAACCATTACCAATGTAACCCACATTTTGCATCATATCAGACTTAACTTTTAGCCTGGTACAACACCCATTGTAAAGAACTGATCAAAATATTAAGTAAAAGCATCATTTGTTACATAAAAATATTTAGGGGACCCCAGCAGTAATTAGTGGGAGTAATTGCAATTCTTGTTTAAAGTTTACATTTATTTATATGACTCGTATCTTGTTAGAGAGACTGTAACTAATGAAGTTGTGGACCCACAAGTAATTTAATATTTAAGGAAAATATTTTCAAACAGCTGATGAGGTTCATTAATAATTGTAAAATTAAATCTTTAATTTTCTTTAGTGACCAAGTGTAACATTTCTATCATTAAGTATGGTAGTACTTAATAGTAGGGATCATGATGAAACAAAATTTGTAGCCATGAAATTTGCCTGTTTAAAACCACCATTAAAATGTGTGAATATTAACAATGACTATTTCAATATATTGACTGAGCTAAATTAAAGCTTATTGTACTTACAAAGCCACCTAACTTGCTATTTTCACGTGAAGTGAATCAGAATTTTGCTATTTCAATGAATTTTCATCAAAGTAAGTGACTTTTCCAGACAAGTGTACAGAAAAAATTTGCAAAACTTTATCACTATAATTCTTTCACAGAATTCTTCCATCAGGAGTACCAGTGATTCCTTTCTTGTATAGAAAACAATACTAGTGTGTGTGTGTATATATATATATATAAAATAGATGATGCACTATTAATAAATTTTAGGGTAGGTTGGTAGATATCTTAATGAGTAATAAAATCAAACTGGGTATATGTGCACCCCATGCTTTGCATTGCTGGTACACAAAAATATAGCTAATAAAAAGGAAACAAACAAGTATAATTTTAAAAAATTAATTTTATAAAGACAAGTAGC